TTTATTACGTCCCGCAGCATTCGAACGTGCAAAATTGCTTGAAACACTTGTTCAATTACGTCCCGAAGCCTTTGACAGAACTGTCAATACTTATAGTCCTAGTAATTGCAAATCTTTTCGTCGTAATCTTCTTTCACAGCTTGCAACTCGATGATTATTTGCGCACACACACACGCGCACACACATATTTGCGGGAATTTGCGTATTATTTATATATATATAATAATGTAGAAAATACGCACTATTGAAGGTGACGTCCTGCGAGTGCGATCCAAACAAACGAAGTTTACTCATGGTTTAGTCTTATTTTTCATATGATAAGCAATATAAAATGTTTCGAATATACTCAGACTTAAATATTTTTGCATGAAAAAAATAAGTTTGAATGATCAATAAAAATTAAGTTTAAAGAAATTTTCGGTCGTGCATCGTAACAGTCGCGTTACAATATATGTACAGTTTCAAAAATGCATGGATTCAAATACTAAAATATTTTCAAAACCTCTGAAATTTTTCTATAAAAAAAGTAATAATGTGGATATTATTGTAGATTTAGCACGTTGAATGAGTATATTTTCCTTAATAGGTCCTATCAGAAATTAAGCTCCAGACCTTGTTTAGTTTAAAAATCATAAACCCATATTTTTACGTCCAATTTATACGTCCCACTGTTGAACACGGGTCTCCTCTCAGGCGAGGGTATAGTTAGGCCATTATCCGGCACAATGGCCTAATGCGGGTTGGGGACTTCACGCGTTATGAATGCACCTTCTAGAAGGTGCAGCTTTCATTACGATGTTTTCCTTCACCGAAAAGCTCATGGTTTATTTCAAATTGAATTTCGCACATAAATTCCGAAAAATTCGGAGGTGCGGGCCCAGATTCAAACCCACGGCCTCCGCTTGAGAGCCGGTAGGTAGGCGTTTAGCTTACAACATAATATATTTATAGATTTTTACAAAATTAAATAAAAAAAGGTATATTTAACTACTTAATAAAAGTTTGTTCTAAATGCAGGTGTATCTGGGCGGAGCAGGCATGCCGCTCGTCGTTTGAGAGGTGGGTCTATTCGAAGCCTAGCCTAATTTGAGTTTTCTGCTAGCTTCGTTAAAGTATCAATGTCGTTTACCATGCCGGACTGCCACGCAGAGGTCCCAGGTTCGATTCCCGGGCCGGGAGAAATGTTTGTATGGCCTACATTTATTTCTCTCGTGAGTTTGGGTGTAATTTGTGGCTGTCTATATGTGTGTCCATGGCACCCGCGACACAGGGTTTCCCTAGTGCGGGGCTATGTTGAGTGTGTGCGTTATTTATTATTTATTTATTTATTATTTAATGGTACAAATGATGCTGTATTAATATCGCTTAGGCTTTTTCGTAAGAATTTGTTTTTCTTACTTAGCACACGACGTATTTTATACGCGCCATAAACGCGCGTAATCTGTGCGTATACGCGGAGCAGACGCGCTGTAGTGAATCGATTCAAACGCGCGCATACATCGCATTGCAAGCAAGAGGCTTATTTAAACTGCCTCCGTGGCCGAAAGGTTACCATGCTGGACTCGCCACGCAAAGGTCCTGGATGCGATTCCCAGGCCGGGAGAAATATGTGTGTGGCCTACATTTATTTATCTCATGAGTTTGGGTGTAATTTGTAGTTGTCTATGTGTGTGTCGGGTCCATTGCACCCGCGACACTGCGCGTATAAAATACGCTGTGTGCGTAGGCTCTTAATACGTGGCTCTTTGTAAAATATTAACAACCTCTCAGGACCATATTACTAATATCATAAACAAGAACTTTTGTTCTATGACTTTTTACAAAACATTTACCAAAAATTAACTCTTAAGTTTTTGTTGACTATCTGACACGTTTATATCTGTATTTGGTACTATGATTGTAAGTTTAAACGCGCAAGCGTTCTTCTTAACGACCCCTAATCCTGATTCTGCGCGTTTTTCGTCGTACCGCACAGAGAATTCACTGTTTAGAGCGACCTGTTTAAATGTTTTTAGTAGTAATATAGCTTCTTGTGAAAGAGTTCTTTCAGGGAAGTAGGTACTGACACCGTATCTATTTCTGCATCCAAGCAGTAATGTGAGCATTACAGGGTTTCGGTTTGTGTGTTGTGTAGTGTGCTGGTGAAATTACAAGTACATGGGACTTGTCAACTTATGCCTCAGGTTGAAGGGCGCAGTGGCTGTGCCCCTAAGATTTTTGCGAATCAAAGCTCTGAGTGGTACTGCAACTGTATATAGGCGTGTCGCTTATCACTAGGTGCACCACTTGCTCGTCCCGTGCCTGGGTATTATAAAAAAAATATGATGAATTATTAAAAGTCTGACAACAGTAGTTATTTGTTATGCAAGGCTGCAAAGTTGTTGTTTGACGCGAGTGCGTGTATTGAAACCTTAGCAAGCGAAGGGAGCTAAGATTGATCACGCGCTTTCCTCGTGGTTCAAAAATAGATGCCTGAGCGTAGCGAGGGTTTCAAGGCACGAGACGCAAAATAACTTTGCTGCCGAGGGAAACACACAACTTTTCTCCATATATAATGGTACTTGAAAGAAAAACGGTTAAACTATACAAAGTATTTTTTTTTATTCACAAGAAAAAGTTTACTTTCGGATGCGTTCTAAATTTACATCTCATCAACTATTATTCTTGCTTGCACTTATAATTTTGTGTGATTAAGTGATTATTGAAATTATTTTAGTTCTTCGACAAAAAACGCTTTTGCGCGCAGATTTCTAATGAGAAAAAAGCTTTTCCGAGCTAGTGAGGTGAAAAAGTTTTTGTGTATGATGTTAGTAATACAGTCCTGTGAGGTTGTTAGTATTTTACAAATCACCCTGTATACTTGTAAAATATTTTTAAGATCGAGGCTTAATGTAGATACTTGTGACGTCACTGATTACTTAGTTTGTAATTGTCATGTGAAACGTAAAAGGGTCTAGTAGGTCAATTACCTACATTGCTGCTGTTCTGTATTCTTGTTTAAAAATAAAGACTTAAAAATATATATTTACCTCGTTAATTGAATTTTGAACCGGCTAAATACGTATTAACACACCAACCTCATTCCAGCTTTGTTGTTTTGGATCAATTCCAAAAAAGAAAATATCGCATTTGCGCTTGTTTGTCACACTGTTTTTGGGTTTATTGTACCAAATAAAATTTTTCCAGAACTTAATTGGTCATAAGTGTGTCGTCACGTATCTTCACACAATTTCAGACATGCGGAAAGAACACAGAATCATATATTATAACACCTTGAAGGTACCTACTACTTACATGAGGTATATAAATAGAAGAGGGTTACGTTCTGAAACGTTCCCACCCGTTGCAGGGCTTTGGCTGCAATAAAAAAGTAAAAATTTTGAATTTATCCTGTTTTTTAACCACTTCTTCGAAACTCTTAGCTGTAGTAAATAGGTAAGTCATCCCTTTATAATTCAATACAAGAGCTGTGGAGCTAACTGCAGCAAACGAGAGCAATACTTAATTTAAATACAGTCCGTTTCTCTTTCATTAGAAGCAAGAAAACATATTAAAGAGTTGAAAATTAGAGATCGCTTATGCTACGCTTATTTTATAATACTTTGTACTACGTACTTTTATATACGCTTATTTTATAATACTTTGCCAGTGGCTGAAATAGTAGGTAACCGCGAAAAGCAAACAAAATTACTCGGCATGGATCTGTAGAGTCAATGGTGCATCAAGCTTGACACTTTGGATCATTCTTGAATTTAAATCTTAAATGTTAAGGTTGATGTGCTCTTCACTCTGTACGACGAGTATGTAAACGAACTGTGAAAAGTTTACAGCTCTAGACAAATTTTGAATCTTCTGTCCTTTTCTTACTGATAGTCACTACTATACCTACTGGACTATTTGTTCGATCATACTTATTTACGAAAGAAGTATCTAAGCGATAAATTTAGTCGTATAATGTAAAACTACCTACTTCATACTACGGATCCACAGTAATGCTCAATTTTACAACACTCGCAAAAAATCTGGCCAATCTGCATCTGCTGAAATCATCAATATGTTTATTTTTTGTTTATTTTTATTGGACAATTTTAGAACGGACAATTACGTCAACGAGCTTTATGTGTCCATAAACAATCGTTACTTATGTGTTTGCTTTGCGTGGGTTGTTTAGCATTGCACACATTTTCACGTGATCTCCTATGTTAAATTGGAGTTTTTTGTGACTGAATTCTGTTTTGTTTTCATTTGTGAAATATTGTGAATATGACTTAGCTAGCTCCGGGTAAGGTGGACATGGGCTTCGTCGAGAGTAGGTGCGCGGTGCGCTGTAAATGCCCAATGTGGCAGTAGTGGTTGTTTTGTTAACTAAAACTCACAGAGAGAGATATATATACTACTATATAACTAGATAGTCATCTTCGGCTTTAAATCCCAACGCTGTCCTGCTGCAGGGCCATTTTGACTTTATTCACCGTATTAGCTGTGTGGAAATGCCACCGAAAGGTTTGATGTAATGCGTATTATCCCTTAGTATTTAACCACTGTAAATCTATAGGTACTTAGAAGATCGGTTCGACGAGCTTTTCTAGTTTCCTCTTCGTAGTAAATGAGGCAATGGTTGTATTTTCCGCATTTATGGATAGTTCGTGGTCCTTACTCTTGGCGAGTATGGTATTGAAGGTTCCTTTTATAAGAATTGATCGTGTTCTGGCAGTGCCCTAGAACGATGATCACCAGGTCGTCAATAAATACAAAAATAAAAATCATTTATTTTCAGCCAACATAGTCCATGCAAGTTAGTAACATAACACACCTTATAATTCCGTTGTATTAGGATTAGTACGGTACAGTACCTACGTAATTTGTCAGCCTTATATTAACCTCAAAGAGCATGATCCAGCCCCCACCGGCGCGGTGGCTCACTGACTCACACGTAAAACATGTAACTCAGTGAACCTCCGTAACAGTGCTGCATCAATACTGTCTGCTATCTTCTTCAGGATCTCGTGGCTGCTATCCTTCACTCTTCATACTATTGATGTCAATGTTCAGCTGGGCCAGCTTATACAGCAGTTGATAAGCAGCAGAAGTGGCAGCCATAGCAGAGGTAATATTACACCATGATGTGGGCGACTTGTTACTATGGAGGCCACTATAATTTGTCCATGTATTGCTGGTCTTTACGACTTGAAAGTATATTCTACAACACCTATCTCGTAATTAGAGTATCCACGCCTTCGCAGGTTATTATCAAAAGCACCCTCAATGGCTAGAAATGCGTGCAGTTTAATTTGTTTATCCTCGAATGCTCTTTCAATCTTGGAACAGGGCGGTTTCTGTGGAATTTTTGTCACTTACTATAGGCATTAAAATTGCATGGATACAGCTAATAAGAATCAATGTTTCCAGTTGTTTAATCACAGAAATAATGATCTGTGATTAATTAGAACAGTGCTATATTCCAGATTAAAGGGCAAGGAGAACACGTGCATTTGGCAAGGTGACATGCGCTACCTATATTATGTCCCATGACCGGCAACAGTAATTGCCAAATATCTATACTGAAAAAAAAAACGTGATTGAAATATATATATATATATATATATATATATATATATAAATAAGATTTGTTTATAATGATAATATGTTGTTTCTATCGGAGCCTAATCATTGCTACCAACTACAATTATTACAGCAACGGTTTTAATGATTTCAGACACAATTTTTTAAATAGATAAAGATTCATTTAATCACATTGTGATTCATACTTTCAAGAATCTTGGACGGTTAACTTGATAATTTTTTTTTCAGTGTATAAGTACTCAGCCATTACCGCTTTCGGACCGACTGTCTTTTTTTTATAATACCAAGTGACGGGACGAACAAGTGCGCCTGGCGTCAAGCGACACGCCTGTCCATAATAGTTGCAGTGCCACTCAGAGCTTTAAATCGCAAAGACTCTGAGGAGTAGGTACTGCCAATGCGTCCGTCACCCTGGGACATAAGGTGACAAGGCCATGTGCCTGTAATTTTACCACCACCCTTACCAACGCGGCCGCCTTTGCCAACAATAGATTTAAGTCTATGTATTGTTTCTGTTCTTGTGTGTGAGTAATAAAGTGTATACCTATCTAACCTGAACGTACTCTTACAATGAACTCCACTGCTTTTAAACTGTCTGTTTGGCAGTATGAATATCTCACCAAAAAAATATAAATAGATAAAAATATTTGCAAATAAAGGAAATTTGTCAGTTCTACGTAAGCCAAACAATTTTTTTTATTATTTCGCAATTAAGTTGAGTCGAAAGTATTAATTCTCGTTAGAGATATCCTAATCTTGTAGTAAAACGTACAACCCACGTTATCTTGAGGTTGACTGATTTATGCAATATTGATTTTATTGAATATCATTATTTTTTTACTTTATATTAATTTATTTTTTGTGAAATTACTCAGTATACTTTGTCATAATTATTAATACAAAGATCGAACACAAAGAAAAATTCCTTCGATCTAACTGAACCTGAACCATGCAACAATAATAATTAATAATGATGGTTAAGGAATCGTCGGGGACAGTACAAATCCGCGTATGTAGTATTGGCAAAATGCGCGTATCTGCACCAAACCAAATTTCACAGGAGAGGGATTTAACGTTATTACTTTGTTATTTCAATGGCTACGACTTCCATTTTTGCATAGTAAGCATTAATTTATGTTGTCTACGGACTGATAACAATAGATTCCAGTAAATCACGCTAGTTTGGTTGCCGCGACATTTACGCGGATTTGGTTTGGCGACTAAATTACCGAAATGGGGACTCATAATCAAGTGCTAGTTACGCGTAATTCCACTATCCACGACGATATACAGTTTGTTAAAACTCTACGCATGCAACGTATTACTAGCTAGTTAAGATTAAAATAACATAGATAGCTACTTGTAGATCTTCATTTATCACGCACGAGACAGCCTCGCTCGCTTCCTATATCTTTTAAATAGGTCACTCCACATTGTTTTGATTAGCGTATCGTAGTTATCGTATATTAGGTATCTAATTTGCCCGAATACCTGCTCATATACTAACTTTCAAATTGGATCACCTTTTTTTTACGGGGGAAAATCGTTATAGATACCCCTGAGCCCAGGGAGACTCAGGGGTTATGTGGGGACTCTCAGTCCAGACTGGAGAGCCTACCCCACTAAAACCCCCCCGGGTTTACCTCCCGCCGCCGGTAGAGTCGGCGCCGTGGAGTCGGTGCACATTCACCACGATGCCGCCCGGCCGCCCTAGCTTGCGCCAGGGCTCCTGCGCCAACGGAGGGGCAGGAACAACTCCAATAGCGTATACTAAAATTGTTGCGATTAAAAAGCTCGTAGTTGCATTAGTGCGCCGCGCTGTCGGTGCACCGCATCCGCGGTGATACTGACACGTCTGCGGAGCATATGGCGGACTGTACTGCTGTAAAATTAGGAAGTGGCTACCTTGGCAGAAAGAGCTTCACCTTTTGCCAACTATGTCATGTGATGAACTGTTGTGTATGCTTTGATATCTGATTGAACATGTCACATTCACCGCATACACGTTACAAATATGCAATAATAAGATATTTATTCACTCTCAGAAAAGGAATGTTGTACTGGAGAACCCGGGTGCTCCACGTAACAGACAATAATGGTAACCATTCGCCCAAGGAGGCAGTTGAACTTACACTCCCGATAAGACAGAGAGTAGATATTTAGTTTTTTATTAATTTTATTACAGAGTAAAAACATGATAAACATATATACTTTCCGCTAAAGTACTTTATTAACTTTATAAATTCCTTTTTCCAATACTTTCGCCAACGCCGGAAAATTATAGATCGTCGATCCACAGCCTCACTTTGTTATTACCCTCTATCCGATTATTCCTTTGCTTCACAAGTTTTTTTTTGTTCCTTAGGTATGTAGCATTTCCCTGAACGAACTCTTTCTTAGGTATTCTATGCTACTATGTGTGTAAACTATGTTTATAATAAGTATTTTATTAAAAATATAAAAATAGAATAAAACAAGTATCTTAATACTTGTTATCCATACGCGTGGTTTTTATATTACAAAGAATTATAAATAGTTATTGATCAGTTATAATATATTATTTACGTATTGAAATATAACTGTTGACAATATTTGATTAGATGTGACTTAGTTAGATTATACGTTAACCTTTAATTAACCATAGGTTATTTATTATAACTATTACAAAATGTGTTTATTATATATTTAGAACAGTTTGATTGGCATTCCAGTGGTATTTACTTTAGATATATTTTAATAAAATGGAATATTCCGAGACAGATTGTCAATGTGACGACTGTTTACTGATTGGGTCGTCATCCGAACGTATATCAGAAAATGTCACTAAAATATAATATATTATTTATTCATTTAACGAAACTTGTTTAATTAAAATAAAACTGTTGTATTTGACGAGGTAATCACACTATTCATAAATAATTAACTGCCTCGGTGGCCGAACGGTTACCATACTGGTCTGCCACGCAGAGGTCCCGGGTTCGATTTCCGGGCCGGGAGATATATTTATATGGCCTACATTTATTTATCTCGTGAGTTTGGGTGTATAATTATTTGAAATGAAACTATTTTTTCGGATCTAAATCGCGTAGGGTCTTTTCAAACAAACAACCGTTTCGGGCCCTTTACAGGTTCTAAGGTCATGACTATAGGGAAAACCTATAATTAAGGAAGTCTATAATTATGACTTACTATCCCAATAATATCCTAGGTGCTCAACGTAATAGATTTAAAAGTTAAGGCCGTAACTTTTTGCATGCATTTGCATAAAAAATATTTCGGTCCTATTATGAAATATACACGATTTAGATCCGAAATAAGAGCTTCATTTCCTACATTTAACTATCGCGAAAACCTAAGAAATCAACCCAATAATTGAATAAAAAGTAAATAACATAGAACAGTGCTATTCTTACAAAATCTAGTCTATATAGGTAGGTACCATAGACACTAGAAATTGAATAATCACATAATGTGAAGAAGTCACCAAATTAACCATTTGAGTTTTGCAAAATCAAGGACTTTATCGATTGGCGCACTAAATTTGTCACGGTTTGACGCGATTTCGGTGAAAGCGGCAGTCGACTTGGTACTAAAGACGAGTCAACTGTATCACCTCATTATGCCGTAAACGCTTGCCGAAGAGCGGCAGACGACTCCATAGTAAGATAAGTACGGTAACTCCGTACAAACGTAGCAGCGCTGCTTGTTTGTGTGCACACCCTCCGCGTGGCTTGTTTTGCGATGTTCAAGAATTACATAAAATAGTTGTTGTGTTTATGAGAGTAAATCAATTTCAGAATTGGTTATCATTTCATTTCAACTCCATAATCGTACATCTATAATCCAGATATCAATCCGCGTGGCTGGTATAAAAATATCAATAATTAAGTACTGTATTTAAGAGTCTTTCAAATGGCTTTAATATATAGTAAAATGGAGGTTATACACTGATTAGTATCCGGTGTGAAAATACGATTCCTAAAAATTTTGATGATAGAGACAAAACACAGACTTACCTCGAAATTTTTTTACGTAGGTACCTATTATTACCAATTATTATTAGTACCAATTATTTTTATATCAACTGAGCTAAATAGAACACGTATAGTATACGATATACATTTTTCAAATAGCTTTTATTTCGTATGTTAAAAAATTTATCCAATGACTTTGTCGTTCGACCTGCGCAATTGAACCGATATGGTAAAAATTATATTTCGAGCTGAGGTAGCATCGATTCTTAACGAAGGTTATTTCAATGTAGCACGAGAATACTGTAGTGAACACCTTAATTTTTTTAATTATGTTTACAACTAGTTAGTACAACTGACAATGTGACAACCCTACGCTCCGAGCGAATTGATGCGCAGAACAGGCGGGAGTCGCCGTAGTTAGGACAAGACGAAGTAGTCTGCTGAAGATGGCAGACGACCCTGTGTAAATGCACTATC